GCTTCCCAACGGCTGCTTGGAATTAGCGCCGCCCCCGCCGTCAAACTTGGCGCAGGCGCCAGGAGGGAGAGAACGGCGGCTGAACGGCGCCCTCTGAGGGCGGAGGGCTCGCACGCTTTTAGGTGGGTGAGAGGGCGCGGGGTTGCGCGACTTGCGGAGCCGTCATGCGGACCGGCGTCGCGAGCCACTCCAGTCTGTGGGTTATGCTTACGGGTCAGTGTGTCGTGGGGACCCAGAACATTGGGTTACTTAAGTCATATTTAGGTAATCATGCTGAGCACGTCGTGTGAATACGGCGGTAGTAATGGCCATCAACTTAGATGCTTTTAAAAAACGATTAGACAAAATGAAGGATAAGGTTTTCAAGGACTGTTATTGATGAAGCTCTCATGAGTTGTATACGTTTGAATTCAAGGATCCTAAACAGGGCTGTACTGTTGGACTGTTCACACACCCTCACAAGACGCTTAATATTTCATTGCACGTGTGAATCCACTGCTTAATTTGCTCTTTGTTCCAAGTGTGTGTATGTACCAGTGATGTACTAATTAATGATGAAATGTAGTCCATGAGAGTTTATGCCACAATAAATTTTTTAGTATTTCAAATGCCATTATGCTTTGGTGACAATTTTACACAATGCAAATTTGGCTTTGGCTTAGCTGCAATATGCCTTTAGAACTTGCCATTAAAAAAAAATAAATGTGACAAAAGGGGAAAATTATTGACTACAGGGAGAGCAATAAATATATTTTAAAATTAAAGCTAGGGATTTTCCCCTGTCCTTATTTTTCAACTGCATCCTCATTTTGCTATTCAAAGTGCAAGTATGGCCTATGCTCCAGAAAAGTGCGCTTCTAGCTTAGTTTGATATATGAACCCACAATTGTGACTTGTAAACCGTAGCAAATTAATTAGCATATTGGGCAGACCCAGCAAATTGTATATTGATGCAGGCTTTCACGGCGACCATCAATCCAATGAAAATGAGCTTCCAGGCTAATAGGCCATGGTGTAATTATACCATGGCCTATTAGCTCAGAAGCTCATCACCATTGGACCAGCAATTTTTGGGTTTTTTTTCTTTAAACCTTAGTCAAACAATGGCTTAGCACAATGTATGAATCCAGTTTATGTAGGACTGAATTGTAGGGAAAAATTTCTGGACCAATGTAGGAAAGAAGACAATCCAAAAATCAGGTTTGGTGTATCAGTCAAGAGATCTGCATTTAAAAGACAATCCCAGGATCCTGTATATGGACTGATTGCTAGATGGAAACTCAGTTTCAAAACTGGAATAAAGAAAAAGGCGCTGAAAACACAAAAACCTCCTTCTCGATGTGTTTTGAATCAAATTATGTAGTGTTACCTAGTGGTTGAAAGGGACTGAACCCTCAAAATGTACAGCTCCTTTACAAGTTGTAAAAGCTCAACTTTTAGAAATGTGTAAAATGTTAAGTTTTAAAAATTTAAAGTTTAAAAATTGTAAAAATTTGTAAAAGCATACAAATATAATAACTATTTTTTTTAAAAAATCCAGTTGTATTTTCCAAGGTATGCAAAATTGGTATGGCCATTCTTATTCCCCACACCTATTTTTGGTAACATCTTACCTGTTCTGGACAATTTAAAGCTTGCACACACTTATGAGTAAGTATTGCCTTACTCTTACAGCTACTAGATGTAGGTTGAGCATGGGATGGCAGCAAAGAAATGCAGAGAATGCTAACCCTTTGCTTGCCATCTGTTGGTTATCTGGAGTTTTGCAGTAGCTCCAATTATTATGGATTTTTTTTTTTTTCTTTTCCTATAGCATAGACCAAGAGGGCTCTCCAGATTTTTTAAGTTGAGTAAAGCATTGTCTACTGACCTCTAGTGGCTGACAACTTTACAATCAATAGTAAACTATTAGAACTGAAGTACAAATTGCTCTGAGAAATTAGATAAGCCTATCAAGAGAATTTTTTTTCTTTTTCTTAGATAAAGCATTAAAAGAAAGCATGTGTCAGTGTAAGAGAAAAAAATGTTCCGAGCGCAGAAGTTATATGTGTCTGGCCCTGAGAATTATCTAAGTTATGTATTCCTTTTTTAAAAACATGCTGTGATTTATTAAAACCCATAAGTGATTATACTATATAAGATAAAGATTTATTTTTGCCTAAACTATTTGTGTAGATTTATGTCTTGCCTTTCCTTCTGGAGTTCAAGGTAATGTTCATAGCATTTCCTTGTCCAATTTTTCTCTGCAGCAACCTCCCTATGAGGTTGGTTGGATTGAGAGTCACTGGCCCATGAGTTTCCATGGCTGGGGGGTGGAGTTGAAGTTGGGTCTCCCTGGCGCTGGTCCAAACGTTAACCACTACAGCTCATAAAATATTTCTAATCCTAACTACAACAACACAGAAGAGAACTGTTGATGTGATCCAGCCAAGGTTAAATATTTCAAACTTCCATTGATTTAAGCGGAAGGAGTCAAATATGTGCAATTAACCAGGCAACTGAGCAAGTTTAATTGGAAGAAAGTGCCAATGAACTCAGTAGCAAGTTCTCCAGGTAACTTTGTTTAGCAGATCAGGTGTTCATTTGGCTTGCAAAACTGCCATTTCAACTTTCCAAGGCTTCTGTTGAGTTGTATCTTCTTATAACTGGGAATTTCATACTGAGCTCCCTAAAGAAGTAGTTTATTTCTCCCTCCCCTGTCATGTTGCCTTTTCCTTCAGGTGGTGCTTTCTCTGGCATAAGCATTGTATCCTCCACTTACTCTGGCCTTTTCTAAGTGAGCAGATTTTAGTGAATGTGTGGATAAGTGTTTGTCTCTATATGTGGCTCTGAACAAGTGCATTGTGGTTGCATATCTGCAGTGGGGTGGCTATCATAGATATTACATATGCAGCTGGAGATAATCCAGCTCTTTGGAGTAACTAGGTTTCCTGTTGCAAAACTAATGTTGCTAGTTTGGGTTGGATCATGGCCTAAGGAGTTTGCAGTTTTGCTGTTTCACTTTTTGTGCTTGGCTTCTGCCATTTATTCTACAAGAAAAAAATAATACCATGCATTTTTATTCTGGTTGTTCACTACAGTAATGCTTTTTGCTATGTGTCTAAATTGCACTAAGAGTATAATATAGTACTGTGATTAATTTGATAGAACACTATTGTATTAGTTTTATTATATTTTTTAAAATATAACTTACTCTGTTGAATGCCAGCCAGTGTCCATCAGGATTGGGGCAGATTAGAAATTCTGTTAACAAAAATACATATATTTTTTGTGCAATTTTATTTTCTGGATTCATGCTTAAAGTGAAACTAAATGATCAGATTTTTGCTTGAGTTGTATGAAATATGATTGGTTGAAAAACAATAAAATCTCAGTGAATAAAAATAAGATAGCAAATATTTCCGAAATCAGTGCTATTTCTGGTAAATTGATGCTATATGCAGAGTCTCTTCAGGAATTTGTACTAAGAGTCACTCAATATGTTCCTGTCCCTTAACAGCAATATTTTAGCCATGAATTTCTAATTATTTAACAGGAGTATTTTAATGAGGAAAGCTTTGTCTTTTGATTTTGATGCCCAGAATGCCACTTTTAAGGAGGCAGAAAACTGCAGGAGAAAGAAGTGCAGCAATATGAGATGAAAAGGATTTACCAATACTTGACTTTGAAATACTGTATGCAGTGATGCTTGCTTTTAACTGATCATTTAATTTTCTGCATCTATGTAAGAATTGGCCGCTATGATGAAAACATGTGATTATGTAATGTCAGGTGAGGAAAGAATTATTAGTGTTATTAGTAATTGTGTAGGGTCCTCAAAGTGGTTAATAACAGAAAATGAAATTAGAAAACAGAGTAAATATAATTTTTTTAAAGCCCCAAATTAAAACACACTTTAGAAGTTGTTAAAATGCACAATATATTTTCTAGGCTTATTCTGATGCCCTTTTGGAATGGCGGTCGATAGCAGGTTCTAAAGGTAGCTAAAGGTGCTCATCTAAAGTGTTTTAATAGCTGTGACTATTATATCCACCGAAGGAATCCATTTTGCCATTGGAATATAAGCCAATGAAGAGGAAAGTGATTTTTGGGGGAGGGGAATGGTTTTAAAGTTACCCTGGGGTTTTTTTGTGCTGGCTTGCTTTATCGGTGTTCAGCATTCATTTTGTATGTCTTTGTCCAATGAAATGGCCCTTTTAGGAACTCCTTTGGATAAGTCTTAAAGACCTGGCTCTTGCCGGTAGCATGGAAGCTGTGCTCGCCCAAAAAAGGTGCGAAGCAACGGAAACCCCGCCTCCTGCGCTCGCCAGCTGGGCTCTGCTCTAGGGAGGGGGCTCGGGCTAACC